CAAACTCTTATGGCGTACACACATAAGGCATCTTTGTGCAAAATTTCCCTCTAGCTCTTATAGTCTCTGAGATCCAGGTGTTCATATGGACGGACAGACAGACAGGGCTAGATTGACTTGTCTTGTCATGCTGATCAAGAATATATATATTTGTGGGGTCTACCACGGCTCCTTCTGTCTGTTAAATTTTTCACCTCCCGCAAACCTAATATACTCTTGCACATTTCATGTATAGACTATAAAAACTGTGACTTCTCGTGCGCCACACGCATGTTCGCACTCAAAAGGCTTTTTAAACCCAGTCAACATGTCTGACATGATCCCACTCGCATCGTGATTCCGTCAAAAGTGGATAAGGAATCTAGTAAGAAAAAATATGTGTCGGACCCAAACATGGATAACTTGCATTTTTAAGCGATGTTGTTGGACCCATGAATGGAATGGGCGGCAAAAGGGGACTCGGCAGGTTGGCCGCTCTGTTTCATGAAATGAGAATTCTTGCCCAGGCCACCCTGAGAGAACTGTTTTTTATACCCTGTACCCGTAGGGTAAAAAGGGTATATTAGGTTTGTGCAAAGTATGTAACATACAGAAGGAAGCATCTCCGACCCCATAAAGTATATATATTCTTGATCAGCATGACGAGAGAAATCGATCTAGACATGTCCGTCCGTCTGTCCGTCCGTCTGGATGAACGCGAGGATCTCAGAAACTATAAAAGCTAGAATAACCAAAGTTGGCATCCAGATTCTCCTAGGTCCGAGTAAGGACGAGTTTATTTTATTTTTTGGAATTTTCCCCCCTTCCCCCGCTACAGAATTTCGTCAATAGCGTCCACATTTCAAATGCTACCTAAACCAAACTTTGCACACATAATTTATATATAATTGTCTACTGTTTAATTTCAATTCGGTCAATTCTAAGAAAGGTTATTAGAAAAACAAATTCTCGTCAGTACAACCCCCCCAAACTGCAGCAACAAGTTCGCTCTTCTTCTTCCTCTTTTTGCTGCTGCTATGGGCGCATATAACTCAGTGACGGAAGTTTACATGGGTACAGGGTATTACACTGTCGGGCTTGCTCGACTGTAGCGTTCTCTCTTGTTTTTCTTGTTGCTGCTGTTACTGGCGCCCTTGTGGGCGCAGCTCTGGACGAACTGGCCCCCAAGCAAAGCTTGCCGCGAAGGCATATCTCTCATGATTAGCCTCAACTTCTTGGGCCAGCGCCAATGCAGTCGGCAGATCCATCCTCGCTATGATGGCTTTAAAGTTCAACGGAGTGTTAAATGAGTCGAGAACCGCGTCTGCCGGGCCTCTAACCTTACGCCTAGTAGTGACGTAAGCTTCCGTCATATTTTTTGAAAATATTATAGGCAGCATGCGCGGCCTGCTTCCAAGACACGTAAGTGTCTTCAGTCCCATGGAACTCGGCAAGGCATTTTACCACATCGAGAGGCTTATTACACTCCACCCTATCTACAATCTCAACTTCTCTGTAAACTTTCACTTCTGGCACTGAGAGCTATGTATTCCTTAACCTATTGGATAGCTGCTCAATCTGATGCTCAAACTCCTGCCTCAGCCTAGCTTCCCTATTTGCGGATTCCTGAGTCTATGCTGTGATCGCGCTGTGCACTGCTGCATCAATTATTGCGCGTAATTGCTCGGGGTCCATAACCGAGTCTGTTTTTGCACCAGGCGCAGTCGGAATAGCACTACCTGATACCTGCAATGTATCAAAATTCCCAACTAAACTCACTACAATGCTGCCGTAGTGTTCGTGCGAGTCTACGTCGGAGTCACAGTTATTCATTCGAATTCAAAACCAATTTGAAACCGAACAACGCATAAAGGTTGAGCCAATGAGACCCTTGATTTTCAATACTAATTTTATTTATTTAAAATAATCTTAATAAATCTTCCTACCTCTCTCACTCTCACTAGCACTCTTTTCCTTACTTCAACAAATTTTAATTTTGTGTGCGTTTAATAAAACTTTCTTAAAATATTTATCTTCTCACTTTACAAATCAGTTACATGAATATATTGTTGCCTTAGTATTAGAAGCTTAATATAGCAGCCTGATGAACTCCAGCGCCACCGTCACAACCACAGATTTTTTAATATTGATTAGATTATGTTGTTGATATTTCTTATTCTTGTTTAAGCCGATTTCACGAACATGCGTTTATACGCTCTTGACATTTTTTTTGGTCACGGTTTATCTCGTTCGTATCTTAATCGCGATAATAACAATTTGGTTAGGTTCTTTATGTTGGGCGCCAATTAGTACATTTATGAATGCAACTTTGGTTTTCCTTTGCAATACACTTCCAATTCAAAGACGAGTTAACTAAAAGGGAAATTGTACGGACGGTACGTCGCTCTTTTATTGTTTCCAGATTTAGACTAAAGAATACAATTTTAAATTATAATAAGCTGAGCTTGCAGCGTCGCCGTCGCTGCTGCAGAGTCGCTAAACTAACTAAAAGGGAAATTGCACGGACGGTACGTCGCGCTTTTATTGTTTCCAGATTTAGACTAAAGAATACAATTTTAAATTATAATAAGCTAAGCTTGCAGCGTCGCCGTCGCTGCTGCAGAGTCGCTGTCGCTGCCGCAGAGTCGCCGCCGTCGCCGATCCCACGAAAGTGCAGCGTTAGCACCTTGTGTGCAGTTGCGACACATTTGGCGCAACCCCGACTCTGGTCATTGGCTTTCGCAAAACGCTGGGTCAGCAATTGCTAATAGTCAGTGGTTAACTTATACATGCTTGATCAGCATCACAAGTCGAGTTGAGCTATCAGCATGACGAGAGAAATCGATCTAGACATGTCCGTCCTTCCGTCCGGATTTCGGAAACGGCTGAGCGCACATTAATCAAACATGGTATGTGGATTCTCCTAGTCCTTAGTCTACACGAGTTTATTTTTTCATTTTTCACTATAGAATTTCGTCAATACTGCACACATTTTAAAAGCTCATGGACCAATTAAAGTTATTAGCGAAATAATTTCACTTCAGTTCTTTGCCCATAAGCTGCAGCAACAAGTTCACTCTTCTTCTTCCTTTTGCTTTTGCCAGGGACGCATATAATTCAGTGACGGAAGTTTGTCTGGGTATTTTACTATCGGGTTTTCTCGATTGTTGCGTTCTCTCTTGTTAGTTATTTTACAGATACATATACTTAAAGTCGGCACTTCGGCTTTAGTTTCTCCACCATTTTTTAACGCCTGGGTATAGTTCTCGTATACAAATTGTTGGAGTTTCGGCCTCCTTTTGTGTTGTCCCTTCTTTCCATCGACTTCTTTCGCGGTTTGTGTTTTGTGGACTGAGCATGCCGATTACTTGCACAAGGCAATCAATTCAAGTTGGTCTGAGAATTTTGTGTCTTCACAACAAGTTTTATTTTGATAGGTTAACTCTATTACCCTTTTTAGACCAACGCGTTTCCAAAAAAAAAAAAAATCAGGTATTTGCTTAATCTAGTAAAAATCTCACTTCTAGGTTAGGGTAGAAAGGCTGGGGCGCTGATGTTCACTCCCCAAATAGGTATTAGAGACCCATTGTGCTACCGTATAATCTCATACTGTCTTCACCAACCTAGGGCCAAGCTTTGGTGCATATCTGCCAACTGAACGATGGCCCGTGAGCAATTTATTTATTTATTTTGTTATTTTACTTTTAAATTCATAATCTTTGTAGTCTATTTATGAAATGTTTCAAGTTCATTTGTTGTAAAAATTGCAATCAAAAAATGACAAGCTGATCTAGATCATGACCTAAAACTTCATCTACTACCGAATCTCCACGCATGGCTCTGTCGTCCTCTTCAGCGAAAAATATGTACAAGGTGTGTTCCAAAGTAAACAGGACTTTTTACATTTTATTCAAAATAGTCTCCTGCATCAATACAGCTTTTTGCACGATCCAAAAGCATGTCGAACGAGTGTTTTAGCTCGTTGGCCGGTATGGCCGCCAGTATGCCGGTGCAAGCCTTTTGAATATCCTCTACGTCTGCATAACGCTTTCCTTTCATGGGCAAATGGATTTTTCCGAAAAGGTAGAAGTCGCACGGTGCCATATCAGGTGAATACGGCGGTTAATGGTTAAAATGTGATTTTTGATCAAATAATCGGTCACAATCGGTTGATTTTTGAGCAATTTTTGGTCGTCAGTCAATTTGTGCGGAACAAACCGTGCACACACCTTTCGTAAGCCCAAATGTTCGGTCAAAATGCGATAAATCGATGTTTTGGAGATGTTCAATTCCATTTCCATCAATTTCAATGATGATTTCGGCTGATTTTTGATGAATTTTGATTGGCCCACATGTTGATCGTCATTTATGTCCTCACGACCACTTTGAAAACGTTGAAACCACTCGTGCACTCTGCTACGGGATAGGCAATTATCGCCATAAACTTGTTCTATCAATTGAAACGTTTCGATAAAAGTTTTACCAATTTAAAAAAAAATGTAATGTTGGCTCTTTTTGTTCGAATATCATTTTCGCACCGATAACACAAACATACTGACATTTAAAACGCAATAACTTCTCTTCCAATCGATGACATGTCATGAAATTCTCACTGGACAATCGATAAAGATAGTAGATTCAAACGCACCAGTCGACATATAGATAGTGCCACCAAGGGGCGCTAGATTCGAAAAGTCCTGTTTATTGTGGAACGCACCTTGTACATACATACATCCGTATTTTGTCTTTCGTCAAAGCCATTATATATTGAAATTTCACCGTTTACCGTTCTCATTATCGACCGCAATAATAACTTATTTCACAATTGTTTTAATATTGTCAAAATAAATAAATTAAATATTTACGCATAATTTTGTAATAATGTATGATATAATGTTGTAGCATTTGGTCTAACTTATCTACAATTTTGATAATATGGTATCGTACTAGGCTATCGATAACATTGGTTTGCGTGTGAATACTTGTCTAAAGTACTTTTATATAATAATCTGCTAGTGATGAATTAGTACAATCGATAATAATTACAGAAATCATTTCGTATAACATCAAAATTTAAGTTTATATTTTCGTCAAGATGGCTTCCTCAGGTTTGTTGATAATTAAATATATTTATTAAAAGTGATACTAATAGGCCAATTTTCATTGTAATCCATTGTTAATGTGTAATAAGGGACTCTTTTCACCACTGCTCTCAGAATTGTCTTCTGGGCATAGTTCGACAGCTTAGTAACTTGTCGCCCTTCCTCGTGGTTTTAATTTCGACACGTAATGCTTTATCATGAATGCCTTGAACACAATACATATACAGACGATAAATACAAATGTATATATGTACATACATATATACATTCGCTTACTAAAGTGAAATTGTATTTTAAATCGATCCTTTATCTTTAAAATTTTATAATTATTTTAAATGGTATTAATGATAATACAAATTTTTTTAATATTTGCATAGGAAAAAAAGGCAAAAAGAGTAAGGGGACCGTCATTTCGCTACAATCTTTTCTCTCCAATGGAGATACGCCAACCGGGACTACACAGGTGGCAAAGAAAGTCAGAAATTTGGATGGTGATGAAAGTGATGATGGAAGCAATGCTTTGCCTCTTGTGTATCAACTTCCTACAGCACCACGGGCTAATCGAATATTTGACGATGACTCTATTCCCCACAAGCCTCCCTTTATAGCATACATTAATAATTTGCCATTCGATGCCAACGAGGAAGATATTTACGACTTCTTCGGACCTATTAATCTTGTGTCCCTCAGATTACCTCGAGAAGATGGAGAAACTGGTCGATCTAGAGGCTTTGGTTACGTAGAAATGGATAACAGAGACGATTTGATCCATGTACTCAGCTTACCAGATCCATCAATTAAAGGACGTCGTATTCGTATTGAACTATCAAATGAAAACGAACAGAACCGTCAGAAAGGGAACCGTCGCTTTGAAGGATTTGGGAATAGTAGCGAAAATAGGGACTCTGGTAATTGGAGAAGGGATAGTCAAAACAACGGCGGTGGCTTCAGTAGTTATTCGGGAAATTCAGATCGAAGCTTTAACCGTGAGCGAAAGCCGATATCTGAAAGGGAAGAGAATAACGCACCAGGCTCCTGGCGCACAAGTACAAGAATTCAGTCCAGCGATTTTTCACCATCACAAAGAGACCGAGATCAAACAAATGACAAATTTTGGGAAACTCGTAGTAAAAATACTGAGCGCTTCGTAAAAGAAGACAACCTTGTCCCTGAAGAGAGGCCAAAGTTACAACTGAAGCCTCGGACACTGCCACTACCAGAGATACTATTAAAACCGGAATCCGAAAACAAAGATGTTTCCGATACTACCAATCTGAAATCAAGTGGGGCCCCTTCTGAAAAAGTATTTGGTTCGGCGAAGCCTGTAGATACGGCAACTCGAGAATTGGAAATTGAGGAACGGTTAGCTGAAGCTCGTCGGCAGGAAAAAATGCGCGAGGAAGAGACTGTAAATGAAAAACTATCTGAAATTCAAATTGATAAAAATGATAATGAAAATGCTAATGCTGCAGTGAGTTGGCGACGAATCCAAGATCCTTCCACAGTTGAAGATAGCAAACGTTCTACAATAAAAGGCAACTATTATATATGTATATAAATACTGAAAAATTGTAACTGATATCCAAATTTTCATTCCAGAAGAACGTCGTCCCAGTGACTCAGACTATAATAAATTTAACAAAGGCCGGGACCAATGTGACAGGTTTGAAAAAACTTCGTAGGCTTAATAAAAAAGTTTCCATGAAGCTATTAGCTTGAGTATATCCTATGAAGATATAAAGATATTATATCGATTTACAAATTTAACTTAAGCTACCAGAAACATAAGCTTCTTAATTTCAGGCTTTTGTTTCAATGATAAATTTATTAATTACACCGTGTACCCAAATGGTAAAAGGGTATACCAGTTTAGGGCATGTGTATAGTGTATGTGACACACAGAAGAAGGCGTGGTTCCCCTAAATCCTATGCATATCAAGTTTCTTGTTTTTATACCCTATACTACCCAATGTATACTAGTTTTGTACGAATGTATGTAACAGGGAGAAGGAGGCGTGGCAGATCCCACAAAGTATATATGTATATTATTGATCAAGATGACAAGCCGAGTCGATATAGCCATGTCCGTCTGTATGAACGCAAGGATCTAAGAAAGTATAAGAGGTAGAATAACCAAACTTGGTATCCACATTCTCCTAAGTCCGAAAAAGAAGAAGTTTGTTATTTTTCTCAGATACACCCCCCTACTCCCCCGCAATTCGTGTTTTTTTTATAACTTCTGAAATTCTTGGAATTTCGAATTGGAATTGGTAACTACATCTAGTTAGTGATTAAACGTCCGTATGCCAAGTTTCATAATCATTGGTCAATTCTGAAGAAAGTTGCAGCCATAAATAAACATGCTCTGCCTGCAGCTCTGCCCGCAGCTGTTATTATGGCTGCTTTGGTTCAATTTTTGTGGTGATTCTGAAGTAAATATCAATAGAATAATTGAAATTTTACATAAACACCACATGTATGCATGTGTTGAATATTTTATATTTAATTAATTAATTAAATTTTTATACCCTGTACCCGTAGTGTAAATAGGGTATATTAGGTTTGTGCAAAGTATGTAACATGAGAAGGAAGCATCTCCGACCCCATAAAGTATATATATTCTGAATCAGCATGACGAGAGAAATCGATCTAGACGAACGCAAAGATCTCAGAAACTATAAAAGCTAGAATAACCAAAGTTGGTATCCAGATTCTCCTAGGTCCGAGAGTTTATTTTTATACTCTGTACATAAAATGTACAAGAGTATATTAGGTTTGCGGGAGCTGAAAATGTAACAGGCAGAAGGAGGCGTGGCAGACCCCACACAGTATATATATTCTTGATCAGCATGACGAGACGAGTCGATCTAGCCCTGTCTGTCTGTCTGTCCGTATAAACACCTGGATCTCAGAGGCTATAAGACCTACGGACACCAAATTTTAGTCCCAGATGCCTTATGTGAATACGCAGAAAATGTGTATTTTGGAATTTCCCTCCCTCCCCCCTCTCCCATGCAAGTCGTGATTTCATGATAGACCGTAGGTTAAAAAGGGTATATTAGGTTTGTGCAAAGTATGTAACATGCAGAAGGAAGCATCTCCGACCCCATAAAGTATATATATTCTGAATCAGCATGACGAAAGAAATCGATCTAGACATGTCCGTCTGTCCCCCCCCCCCCCCCCCCCCCCCCCTGCCCCCGCTACAGAATTTTGTTGATGGCGTCCACATTTCAAATGCTACCTAAACCAAACACATAATTTATACATATTTATTTTATTTATTTATTTTATTTAAAATTTTATATAATTCTGTCAGTTCTAAGAAAAGTTATTAGCGAAACAAATTCTGGCCAGTACAACCCCCCCCAAACTGCATCAACAAGTTCGCTCTTCTTCTTCCTCTTTTTGCTGCTGCTTTGGGCGCATATAACTCAGTGACGGAAGTTTACCTGGGTACAGGGTATTACACTGTCAGGCTCGACTGAAGCGTTCTCTCTTGTTTTTTTTATAATTATTGTAAACATATGTACAGAGTATTTCAAAGTCGGGACACCCGACTTTAGCTTTTTTACTTGTTTTTTTTTTTTTTTATTACTAGCGTATCCGGCTTGCGTTGCGCCACTAAAAATGTAGCTCAGAAGCGGCTCTGGTGGCTGATTGAGCGGTGGCAGAACAACTTTACCATTCGAACAGCAAATACCCGGGGAAACTTCAGAACGTGGCAATGCAAACAAACTTTGGTCATTGCGCCAATAACTACGTCTTCGTGTTTTTGGGTAGTCAATATCCTTATTGTAGTGGAATGCCACCAATTTTAAGTCGGTTCTCTCCCTCGACCAAATTGCGGACGATTATCATTAAGTCGGGCAGTATGTTGGTGCGCTGTCTCTGCTGCTCTCGATGTAGATGCCCCTTTGCACGTTTGCTGAAGCCACGACTCCCGTTCTTCCGTTTCTATTTACATGGCTCTCGAGGTAGATGCCCTTTCACGCATTTGCCAAAGCCGTAACTCCCATTCTTGCTCCGTTTCTATGGCTCTAGATATGATTCGCGGTCATCGGCATTATCTGCTGCTCTTTTTTCGCTCATCTTTCTTGATTTTGTGTTTTTTTAAATTCGATTTTCCAATTTTATTTATTTACGAATGAAACACTGACAAACAGAGAAAATGGCTACTCCCAAAGAAATGAAAATGGGCAATCGAACAAACGCCACGAAACTTCACAGGTACACCCATTGCCCTATTTTGAATATTGCCACAAAATTTGATCAAAATCGGTTTAGCCGTTTCGGAGTCTATAGGTAATATCTTCTAATACATACCTCAGTAAAATTGATATATGTGCAACTGGTTTTTTTAAGTTTCTTAGGAACTCTTGAATGTTAGATTTTTCCTTTTATTTTTATACTCTGTACATGAAATGTACAGAAGTATATTAGGTTTGCGGGAGCTGAAAAATGTAACAGGCAGAAGGAGGCGTGGCAGACCCCACAAAGTATATATATTCTTGATCCGCATGACGAGACGAGTCGATCTAGCCCTGTCTGTCTGTCTGTCCGTCCGTATGAACACCTGGATCTCAGAGACTATAAGGATAGACACCAAATTTTGCACAAAGATGCGTTATGTGTGTATTCTATACGAGTTTGTTTTATTTTTTTGATTCCCCCCCACTTCCCCCCTATGGGGGTTTTCCCGATTTTCCATTCGTATAATCGCCTATATCTCGGAGACCATAAGACCTATGAACACCAAATTTTAGTCCAAGGTGCCTTGTGTGAATATGCAGAAAATGTATATTTTGGAATTTCCCTCCCTCCCCCCTCTCCCCCGCAAATGCGATTTTCTCTAACTCCCATAACTCCCATAGGCATACATACACTCACACAGACGCAATTGCTATGTAAATGTGCAATTATAAACCCTTTACGTGAGTTCGAATACCGAGAAAGGTAAAATCGATCATTGAATTTTTTTTTATTTTCTTAATTTTTTTTATTTTTTATAATTATTGTAAACATATGTACAGAGTATTTCAAAGTCGGGACACCCGACTTTAGCTTTTTTACTTGTTTTTATATAGGTAATAGATATTGATAATTAAAAAACCATAAGTATATTTAGAATTTAATTATTTGATCAATAATAAGTTAACGAAAAGAAATTTTTCATAGAAAGTTGATATATATGCAAATGAAAAGAAATTTAATGAATTTTAATTATTATTTACATTTTGAATACAATTTACTTATTGTTTTTGTAAGATATAGTGTTTACCTTTTGTTATACGGCCTATTGCAACCGTCAGAACATGGATTAACTAACTTTTGAAGGACGATTATGTCAATTTGTCGCCATTCCTGGACAATGGCCTCTCTTACATTTTTTAAAAGGTCAAATTGTTTTCCACACCTAAGAACTTTGCCTGATGGGATGCCCTAAAGGTCCTCGATTGGATTTAAATCCGGAATTTTTTTTTAAGGTGATATTTCTTGTCTAGAAAAACGTCATACTATACCGTCCAACGTGTATTGGGGCGTTATCCTGCTGAAATTTCCAACCCTATCCATGGAACTCTTTTGGAAATGGCATTCAGCCGATCTGGTATAAAGCATATTGGTAGCTTACCAAGGGAGCTTAAAGCCGCCCATACCATGAGTACCATACCGCCATGGTTGCATCTTTGGCAAATCTGCCGGGGATTGCTTAAATCGCGCCAATACTTTCGGTTTCCATTTGAGCCGTCTAAATTATATTTTTTTTATACCCTGTACCCAAAGGGTACAAGGGTATATTAGTTTTGTGCGAGTGTACATGGAACACACAGAAGGAGGCGTGGCAGACCCCACAAAGTATATATATTCTTGATCAGCATGACAAGCCGAGTCGATATAGCCAAGTCCGTCTGTCTGTATGAACGCAAGGATCTCAGAAAGTATAAGAGCCAGAATAACCAAACTTGGTATACAGATTCTTCTGAGCCCGAGAAAGGACGAGTTATGATAGGGTGATTAGAAAGAAGTTAGAGTTATAGCCATATAACCAGGCCCAATGCACACATACATACATATGTACAAGTACACCAACACGAATAGACACGATTCTGATGTAAACGTATGTATGCATGTATGGAATATTTTATATTTAATTTAATTAATTAATTATACTCTGTACATAAAATGTACAAGAGTATATTAGGTTTGCGGGAGCTGAAAATGTAACAGGCAGAAGGAGGCGTGGCAGACCCCACAAAGTATATATATATTCTTGATCAGCATGACGAGACGAGTCGATCTAGCCCTGTCTGTCTGTCTGTCCGTATGAACACCTGGATGTCAGAGACTATAATATGCACAAAGATGCGTTATGTGTGTATGTTTGTTTTATTTTTCGATTTTCCATTCGTATAATCGCCTATATCCCCGAGGCTATAAAACCTACGGTCACCAAATTTTAGTCTCAGATGCCTTGTGGGAATACGCAGAAAATGTGTATTTTGGAATTTTCCTACCTTCTCCCCTCCCATGCAAATCGCGATTTTCTCTAACTCCCGTAATTCTTGGAATTTCGAACTCAAACTTGGCAAATACTTCCATTTAGTTATTATAAGTCCAAATGCCAAGATTCATGATAGGCCGACTTAACAGGAAGTTATAGCCATATATGTACATAAGACCAAGTAGTGCCTGCAGCTGTTGTTGTTGTTACTGCTTTGCTCAGACACACACAAATACACGCATAATTATTCTACACATATGTACAGAGTATATCAAAGTCGGGATAACCGACTTTAGCTTCTCTACTTGTTTTTGAAGTGATTTTACTTGATTTTATTAATAATAATCACTGTTTGATCGCATTTAAATAAGAGAAATCATTAGAAATGAAATGGTGACTAAGTATAATGCAAATATTTCTGTAGTAACAAATAATATAACACATACATAGACAAAAAATTTATTACCAAATTTAAAAAAAGAAGAAGCATCTATATATATAAAACAGTTTGTCCTGACTGACTGACTGATAGGTGATCAACGCACAGCCCAAACGGTAAAGGCTAGGAAGCTGAAATTTGGACTCAAGTATCCTTTCATAGTCTAGGTCCCCACTAAGAAGGGATTTTGGAAAACTCGAGCTCCAAAGGGGGGAAAACAGGCCCCAACGTTTGTATGAACAATCTACAGTTTTCATCTGATTAACTTTAAACTTAGTTTGTATACTCTCAGAACAATTCCAAGAAAAACTGTATACTTGGATTTTTTATATTTTTTTGGGGGCCTAAAATATGGGAGTTTTCCTGTAAAAAAAAATGTTGGGGCACAAAAGCAAACCGCGTCAACAGCCCACAGCCCACACGGTAAAAGCTAGGATGCTGAAATTTGGGCTCAAGTATCCTATCATGGTGTAGATGCGCACTAAGAAGGGATTTTGGAAAATTCGAGCTCCAAAGGGGGGAAAAGTAGCTCCAAAGTTTGTTTGCATATTTCAACCGATCGACTTAAAACTTCGTTTCTAAAATCAATTAAAGAATACAAACAAAACTGCATACTCGGATTTTCGAAATTTGTGTTGGAGCTTGAATTATTGGGGTTTTAATATTTATTCACTATTTCAAATGAAAAGTTTGTGTTATAAATTTAGTCCGATCGATTTAAAATTTGGATAAATCTACAACTTTGCATTCAAGGATTTTCAAAATATGCATTTTACAAAAGCAGGGAGAACAAACAATACAAAATATCAAACAGTTGGGAACAACTAAGTATACACACACACACATACAAACAGCTGTTCGTGTAGTTGCGTGCAAACGATTAAATAGCCAAAGCAAAATGTGAGACACTAATGTGTGAATGTCCATACATATGTGCACATCTATGTATGTACATATGTATCTACAAATGTATGTATGTATGTACATTCGTCTTGCACTGACAGAGCAAGCAATGTTAATTAATTGAAAATTATATAACATTTTCCGTCTGGATGAACGCAAGGATCTCAGAAACTATAAAAGCTGGAATAACCAAAGTTGGCATCCAGATTCTCCTAGGTCCGAGTAAGGACGAGTTTATTTTATTTTTTTTAATTTTCCCCCCCTTCCCCCGCTACAGAATTTCGTCAATAGCGTCCACATTTCAAATGCTACCTAAACCAAACTTTGCACACATAATTTATATATAATTGTCTATTGTTGTTCAAAATTTTATTCAATTCGGTCAATTTTAAGAAAAGTTATTAGCAAAACAAATTCTCGCCAGTACAACCCCCCCAAACTGCAGCAACAAGTTCGCTCTTCTTCTTCCTCTTTTTGCTGCTGCTTTGGGCGCATATAACTCAGTGACGGAAGTTTACCTGGGTACAGGGTATTACACTGTCGGGCTTGCTCGACTGTAGCGTTCTCTCTTGTTAAAAGTAATTTTTTCTTTGTTTAGTGCATTTGGCATTAGGGTTTTCATTAATAGCTTTATGCAGCAACAACAAATATCAAATAGTTGGGGACATCACATACACACACTCACACACACAACAACATACACACATATGTATGCCTGTGTATGAATATAGCATGTATGTACATTCGTATTAATGTATACATTGGGCAATCGAACACAGTTGTTTGATTGTAAAAAAAATAATGCTCTAAAAACAACAACAACTGCAAGTCATTGGCTCGCTCTTCTTCTTTCGTTTTGACCATTTAATGTTAATTGCAAAGGCACAACGCCAAAAGTTTACAGTTAAAGTCGCTAGGCAACGACTGCGTAAGCGATAGTAAAGCAGAAACCGAATAATGGAGCTACGCATATTCTGCTTCGCATTGCGGGCAGATGTATGTATGTATATGATTTGTTCTTATTGATCTCAATAAATAATTCGATTTCATTATTTAAATATTCTGCTTATTGCATTCAAACTTCGATATTTTGATGGTATCGGTGCCAGTAGTTTTTGATCGTGGCTCATCGCTGCACGGCATTGACACGGGTGCCGTGTTTCATATTCCGAGTTTGTGCGTGGCCGTATTGACTCAATATGGCACGAAAAGACTCAAACGTGAATTTAAATTTGGACTCAAGTATCGTTTTATAGTATCCGTCATAGTGTAGTGGAAAATTTTAGTTCCAACGGGGGGAAACGAGCTTTAAAAAATATTAGTTATAGTGGTCATGTTCGTTTAACGAAATAGTTTGTCAAGAACAAAAATGTAACGGACTACTGAACAATTTTTTGTCAAGAACAGAAAATGTTCATTTAAATACCTTAAATGCCTTCCTACTGGTAACCTTTAAGGTGAAAACATATGGGTAGGTTATGCACACACAAAATAAATACAATTGGAAATATATTGAGCCGGGTTAAGACGGGCAATACCTGCTAGTCATTCATAAATTAGTTCAGATCGGGAAGACCACGCAAAACAAAGCCTATAAAAGGCCTCATAATACTGCGGAAACTTAAGGAAAATGTGATGAATACACCAAAAGCAGTGTCGAGTGAGCTCAAAAAGCACCAAAAAATATCAATAAGTAGAAAAAATGTATAGCTGTATAACTATAACTTCTTGTTAAATTTGGTGTTCCTAGGTTTTATAGTCTCCGAGATATAGACGATAATACGAATGGAAAATTTGGAAAACCCCCATAGGTGGGTAGTGGGGGGGAATCAAAAAAAATAAAACAATCTTGCACAGTGTACACACATAAGCCATCTTTGTGCAAAATTTGGTGTCTCTAGCTCTTATAGTCTCTGAGATCCAGGTGTTCATACGGACAGACGGACAGACATACATAGATCGACTCGTCTTGTCATGCTGATGAAGAATATATATAGTTTGTGAGGAGACTATAAGACCTAGGAACATCAAATTTTTAGTCCAAGATGCATTTTGTGAATACGCAAAAATGTGTATTTTTGAATTTTCCTCCCTCCCCCCTCCCCCGGAATCCATAACTCCCGTATTTCTTGGAATTTCGAACTTTTAAACTTGGCAAATAAATATATTCGCTGCTCAAGCGCTGCTGTATAATTATTCTAAACATATGTACAGAGTTTTTCAAAGTCGGGACACCCGACTTTAGCTTTTTATAGCCTGTACCCAAAAGGTGAAAGGCTATACTAGTTTTGTGCGCATGTATGTAACACACAGAAGGAGGCGTGGCAGACCCCACAAAGTATATATATTCTTGATCAGGATGAGAAGACGAGTCGATACAGCCATGTCCGTCTGACCGTCTGTCCGTCTGTCTGTATGAGCGCAAGGATCTCAGTAAGTACAAGAGCTAGGATAACCAAAATTGGTATCAAGGTTTCTATAAGCCCTAGGCAGAACGAGTTTGTTTATTTTTTCTGATACACCCCCCCACTCCCCCGCAATTCGTATTTTTTCTTATAACTTCCGTAATTCTCGGAATTTAAAAATCAATTTTGGTAGGTACATCCAGTTAGTACTAATGTGTCCGTGTGCCAAATTTCATCATGATAGGTCAATTCTGAAGAAAGTTATGGCCATAAGTAAAATCGCTGCTCATGCGCTGCCTGCAGCTCTGTCGGCAGCGCTGCCCGCAGCTGTTGTTGTTGTTGCTGCTTTTGTTCAACTTTGTGCTGCATACATACACGCATATAAACACGCATAGGTACGTGATGTAAATGTATGCTGTTTAAACTGAACATAAACATGTATTCTAATTTAATTTAGTTAATTATTTTAATTAATTAATTCATTCATTTTTTTTAATAATTTAATTTTTAAAAATTTTTTTTTTTTTTTAATTTTTCCTTTTTGTGGAGAGTACAGGCTATTTTACTGTCGGGCTTGCTCGACTGTAGCGTTCTATCTTGTTTTTTACTTGTTTAACAACATACATGTACATATTTAAAACATAAGTGATGAATCCTTTCTTGGACTGTTTTTTTTTTTTTCTAGATCTGAGAGTTCTAAATCTAGGACTAACCAAAGCCGAGAAGGGAAACCAAAAGAGGAAATTAAAAATAAACGAGATGCTAAGAGCGAAAGATCCTTGCCTAAGTATCAACCTAATCAGTCTGGACCTGTAAGTAACTATTAACCGTATACCCAAAAACGTCTACCCATAAGGTCATCCTTATAGCTATTGTTATAATACAACACCGACTATCCTTCAAAAATTTAAGTGAGCAGAAAGTACGTCTTAAAGCACTCAGAAAACAACATATTTTTGTATGTCAATACTATATACATAAATGGGAACTCACGATTTTTGTATTGTGAGTTTTCAGTGCGGGACTGCTCATTTGCTGGTTGCCATTACCAAATTTAAAAAGTATATCGTACACATTTTAAAATAATGTGTTGTTGGAATATTAAAAATATGTAAGACTTGTAACACACATAAAAGAGAGCGTAAAATTTATTAGTTTTAATATTTGTTATTTGTTGGCAAGGTTCCGCATGCCTTGCCATTCTTTTTCACCATTTTTTTAGGGAACCAATTTTCTCACCTTCAATTTTATTTCATCTTCTCTTTTGTAAAATTTTACGGCTTAGCGAGTAATTTTAAGATTTTCCACTTCGACTTTGTCATTTACAGTTTTATGGAAGAATGCTCTCATTGACCTATACATTATTTTAAAAACAAAACTATAGTAAGATACAACAGATTGTACATGTGGGTGTTAAAAAGTTTTAATCGTAAACGCTCTAATGTAACACAAGAGCTGGATTCTGTTTGAGTAAAGACATTTTATTTTATATTTTTAGGTTTTGCAATCTTCTAATAAGTATTCTGGACTTGACGATGAGGCCTCTGAATAAATTTTTTCGTGTCTAATATTTGTACTAAATTAATGGAATAATAAAATAATGGATGAATTTATCATGACTTCTGCATTACATTACTATATTTAAAAAATGACAATAATACAATGGGAGTTGGAAACGATCATCGACTAAAAAAGCGGTGGTCACGTAGTGGATCTTTTGGCAGTGCTCCTTTCGCTATGTTTTGGTAAGCCAGACTCACTAGCAGAGTGCCGATCGCGAGCGACCTTACAAAAACCATGCAGTGGTCGCCAGCCCGACGCACAAGCAGATTGATGCCAATAAAAAATTCCACCTAGTCCGTGTGTTGCTGCTCAATTTTCATCAGGATTTGCTCATGACTAACGATGGTTTTTGTTGCACAAGTATATGTTGTTATACCTCAGTAAAATAATTATATGTGACAAACTATTTTTGCTGTATTCTGCGTATTAGGTAACGGCACTTTATTTTTGAGAATGCAGTCTGTTTTGTTTATCTCTTCTTATGTATACACAACTATCATTTCCTTGTTCTCTGCATATTTAGTTTACCGTTAGCTGAAAAAGTACCCGTGCCTTTGGTATTTGGTTATAAATAATTATATGTGTCTTTTACAATTCGCTCGCTGCTCCGCTTCATTAATTGGTTTTAAAAGGTTTAATTACAATAATTTTATTCTAAATTTAAACGTGAGTATACATATATGTTATAAAATGCATTTGCCTAAATATTGGTGTATTAGACTGTGCAAAATGCCGCGTGGAAATAGCCTTTCGGAGTATGAGCAAGGATTAATCATTGGAATGCATGAAAGCGGTTCCAAAAATGTTGAAATTGCTAAAAAAAACTCAATCGTCATAAAAATACTATTAGTAATTTCCTCAAAAATCCGAGTGAATATAAAACAACACCACGCAGCGGACGGAAAACTGATATTGACACCCGATGCAAGCGTCAAATCCAGCGACTTGCAGCCGTGGATTTAATGAGCAGTGGACAGATTAAGGCTCAATTGGGACTCAATGTAACAAGGATTATTCAAATAATCCATGAAAATCAGAGTCTTAAACATACTACCATGGTATCTAAACCTAAGCTTTTACCTCGCCATATGAAGGCACGTATTGACTTCGCACACAGATATCCATTCTGGGAGGAGGAATGGCGTAATGTCATTTTCAATGATGAAAAAAAGTTTAATCTGGACGGTCCTGATAGTTGCAAAAAATATTGGCGCGATATGCGACAGGATCGACGCACCTGTTATAAGCGTGGTCATGGTGGTGGGACGGTAATGGTATGGGCTGCGTTTTGCTACAAAGGAAAGAGTCCAATGTGTTTTATATCCACAAGGATGAATGCCAAAATGTATGTTGACCTATTGGACGACGAGTTAGTGGAGTTTGGCGGCCAGTTATACGGCGATGAGTGGACCTTTCAACAGGATAATGCTCCAATACATAGTGCCAAGCTGACCACCGAATATGTTAACGAGAAAAATATTCCAGTTTTAAAGTGACCAGCAATGAGTCCAATTGAGGATCTCTGAGGTATTCTATCCGCTGAAGTGTTCAAAAATTGCCGGCAGTTTGAGACAGCAAAAGAGCTTAAATTGGCCATAAAACAAGAATGGGCAAAAATTGACCTATCCCACTTAAAATAATTGATTAACTCCATGCCATTTCGCTTAAGTTCGCTAATAATGAATAGTGGAAAGCCTATTAGTTATTAATTTCACTTAATTATATCGAATTTAATTCATTTAAGTTGATTAATCCCAATAAGTTGAGCATATCATGAAAAGTCACATATAATTATTTATAATGAAGAACAAGTTTACATTAAGTTTTATATGTATTGAAATACGATTTCTTTAACTTTTTTCTTATTTTTTGTTCCCCTTACTATAAGCAATAAAACTGCAAGCCTAAAATTTTTTTACTTGCACGAGTACTTTTTTAAACTTACAAAAATATAAGACAATTATTTTACTGAGGTTGTGCTTCCTATTTAAAATATCGTGTCAACCGGTGGTCTAAAACTACAATTCGCATGACTTGGCAATTTCGTTAATAATATGCTGATTATCAGGGGTACCACAGAAATCTCTTCCGCCTCAAAACCAATTCTCAGTGCTACAGAAATCGCTTTTGGGAGCTTTCATATCTGGTTTGCTTTTCCAGGAGTTTTGATTAAAAACACTAACAACGACGATTATTCCTCATAAAAAAATCATTTTAGTTTTTCTGAACAATCTGCATTAAAAATATTTTGCATATCCTATGTAGGTTAGGTTGGCGCGGTAGTCAGGATGTGATCCTAACTCACATAGGCCAAATTATGACCTATTGTGTTACCGCTTGGACTGTTCCACAATCCACAGTCCCGTGGAATCTGCGTGTCTGTGCATGAACTGTACCCATCCAGAGGCTTGGATGAATGTGGAAATATTCCTCGGCCCCTTATCGGACAGTGCCGATAAGGTTGGGAGGAAATTTTCTCCTAAGAACCGCCGTATTGGTCTTAGTAGAGCTGGACAGTCGCAAAAGAGGTGGGATACTGTTTCCTCCTCGTTTTCGTCCTTACAGCTGATTACAGATTATCCGGAAGGATAGGGACGATAGTACCGTGTCATGCCAGCTCAGCTTTACAGTTGCCCTCAATGTCCCTGTGTCTTGGGACCCAAAACGAGGTATACCGAGAACTGTGCTGCCTGAATAGTGAGAATTTCCGCCTGGAAAACGCTGCAATGGTCTGGGAGTCTGAAGGATTTATTTATATTGAGGAGTGGAATTTTGTACTTCCTAGTAAAGAGTACAAGTTCAGTTTTACTGGGGTTGACGCCAAGGCCACTCGCCGTACCCATCTTAATAATGTGCTAAGAGCATCAGTCATGCGTTCACACAGTGTTTGAGGGAATTTTCCCGAAAATAATATTGCTACGTCATCTGCATAGGCAACAAAACGGCATCCTCCGATTCCTTCTAAGGATAGTAGCAGTGAATTTACCGCCACGTTCCATAGGAGGGGTGAGAGGACACCTTCTAGAGGGGTTCCTTGACTCACGTATCTGGATATAGTGAATATCTGATGTTGCTGAGAGATACCAATTCTAGAGGTACTTGAGTGACTCTTCACTTGAGGTTTTCCATGACTTGTCCAGCTTCTGTAGATAGCCTAATGTGGTGGGAGATTTTGAAAGTACCTTTCGTAGCCTTGCGGTCTCGGCGGTGCTTTCGATATCCGAGCAATTGAGTACTTTCTTATACTTTGTATGCGAGCCCCTCCTTGGAATCTGCCTGCATTGAAGAGAGTCCTGTCTTTTTTTCTTGATTGAGTTTTCTCCTCGGCTTGCCGATGGGGCATGATTTTTGAAAAACGGTTTCAGAAGCTGTGGTAAACCTATCTATAAGGGTTGAGGTAAAGCTAACCGTGTCTGGGCCTTGAGGGGGATTTCTGGCAAGAGATTCCCTAAGAGTTTGGAAAACGAGAGCCAATTTGTGCGTCTAGGGTTTCTAGTCACAGTTCGTTTTTCATTGCTTAGAGATAGTTCAAATTGAATATATCTGTGGTCTGAGAATGAATGTTCAGACACAACTCTTCATTTCTTAATGCTATTATATAGCGTGTCTGAGGCGATGGTAAGGTCTAGAACCTGGCTGCGGTTCTTTACCACGAAAGTGAGATCTGATCCCAAGTTGCCGAGCAATACATTGGTAAAAAGGATATTGTTGTGCGACCAATATTTTTTGGCAGCTGTATTGAACACGATAATCAAGACTTGCTTTTCTGCAAATAAAACAAGATGACTTTCAACAACAACGTTATAAATGTTTATTGCAAATATGCACTGGCAATTACTATTATGGCTGTGGCTCAGACCAATTGTCTTGCTTCACCAAAACAACAACAAAATGCGAGATCAAATTAATCGAGTACAAAGAGAATGAACTGCGCGGGCGGGCTACAATTGCAGACTAGCGCAAGCGGGCAACAGTTGCAGACTAGACTTGACGAACGCACGCGCTACCACTTTAGCTGCATTTGCAGATCAGCTGCAAATGAGAGCGAGGGCGTTGCCAAATTTGAATGTTAATTATAGCAAGAGAGCGCTGCACAAGCAGCCAAATTACATGATGTTATGTTACAGAGCTTTATGCAAATGGCAAACAATGATGTGTTATGAATTTACGTTACAAGTTATCAACTGTTAAATCTATTTGGATGTCTTCGCTGCCGCTGCGCCGAACATACTTCCCCCGTTGGACGCTTGTCTTTCAACCGAATCCTTGAGGGGCAGCAGGCACAACTTGTTGACGGCCCTCCTGATAGCTCCAGATGCAGTCTTCAGATCAGCAACACGAGAAACGCCATCCTTTCCAGGCATGAGTTTGACTACTCGAGCCATCGGCCATCGCATGGGAGGAAGATTCTCGTCCTTTACGAGCACAACATCGTTGACACACAATGGATGCGCAGGCATGCGCCACTTGGCACGTTGCTGGAGGAGAGTAAGGTACTCCTCACGCCAACGGGCTCAAAACACCTGTTGCAACTGGGATACGCGCTGCCAGCCATCTAGACGATTGTAGTTGAGCTTCGTAAGATCAGGCTCGATGATGGATGCGATAAAAATGGTGTTTCGCCATCTTCACCGTCGACTCCCACAGTCCACCAAAGTGCGGAGAGCGAGGGGATATGAAACGCCAATCGATGCTATCAGCCCAGCAAAATTGATGAACTGCTTCCATGTGAGAATCGTTAGTACGAGCTGTTTCAATTCCAGTAGTTCATTTTTGGCGCCGACAAAATTGGTAGCATTATCAGACCAAATTTGGCTCGGCTTGCTACGAGTAGATATAAAACGCTTCAGAGCGCTAAGAAACGAAGCGGTGGACAAATCCTTCACAAGCTCTAAATGCACCGCTTTACTTGTAAAGCAAATAAACACGGCTATATAGCACTTCATTGGTGGCCTGGTGCATGCATCTGACTTGTAGAAGAAGGGTTCACAATAATCGACTCCAGTGATCGTGAATGCCAGAACGGCCTCAAGACCCCTCCCTCCCTCGGAAGATC